TATTTCATGATCGTTCATTACAGTATGTGATTTAATATTGTATAATTCTATCATAGGAGTCTGTGTCTAAGCACAGATGAAGCATTTGAACAAGGGAAGAACCTCCCATTCATCAACCCAAGCTCCCTTGAGACCCTCAGGGCCTTGGTGCAGGAGATCCAGAGCAGTGGAGGGACAGACCCAGAGATCTGGAAAGACTGTGAGGTGGGAAACTGTCACAGAGCCCGAAACACAACAGTTATTGTTGAATATGCAAATGAGATTGTGATAAGTGCACAGTGATGACACTGAAAGTGAAGTTGGGCTTCACTGCTGTGACAGTTGTTCTTGTGCACTGCTGCCTCTTTCCTGAGCTGTCACTATTATTTTTTTGTGCAGATCACACGTGACAGCAGCACAGACACAGACACTCAGTTGCATATGTACATACACAGACCCCAACAACCCACACGGTGCCTCACTGCTGCTGATCTTTTCAGACACACAATATGACTGCAGGGAACAGACGACAGGGACATGCTGCTGAACAAACACACATTGCTGCGTAGTTCATCGGGCTATGTACAGTGTGTCTCTTCTCTCTCTCTCTGATGGAAGCTTCCCTCACCTTCTCATAAGTACACACCTGCATACGTGTACACAAGCAGTAAGCAGACAAATTCAGTTAAAGAATTTCAATGCACATTGTCACATACTCACTTACTCAGTGCACTGACACTTAACTAACAGGTCACTGTCAGTTTCCTGCATCTTAAGCATCACATAAACCCGGTTGCCCTCATCAGGCAGAGAAACCTGATCTCCTGGTTCAATTTCTCCTTGAAAAAGATGATTTCTTCTGCATAAGCAGAATAGGGAGCATAGTTCAGTTCATATTGTGTTGCCTGTCTGCACATGGACGTGTTCACCATGTTGGGCTGCACACAGATAGTCACCGTGGACCCTCGTGGATATGGGCTGCGGATGAACTTCACATCACATGGACTCTTGTGGCACTGGGGTGCGGAAAGTATAAATTGGCTTTAACCAAGTTTCTAATCAACTTTTTTCAAGGTAGCATGTGTGTGACAAATGTTGCTGTGAGTGGTAGCATGAAAGTCAGTATCATTAGACATGATGATAAACCCTTGAATTGTAAGTAATTCTCTCTCTAAACAGGTTGGTTTATGCCACTGAACATTTGACTATAAAGTTCTGACACATTTGCTGTCTAATAGACTTCTATTAGACAGCAAATGTGTCAGAATGCTAACTTCAAGGTTTGTCCTCTCCCTGCACCGTCAGTCCTCCAACATACAAACACACAAAATCTCACATCTGTTTCTTTTGCCTCTCTTAAAAATCTGGAATTAGTTACACAAATATAGTTCATTTCAAGGATGTTTTCTGCTATAAATCACTATAAATCTATATTCAGTGTTTGTGCACTGGAGGCTTCAAGTCTCCACATCACACTTGTGTATTTCTGATGTCATAAAAACCTGGTGAGAAATGCTACCCTTCAGCAGATGACCTTGGAAGTTGTCTTCTAGTGTCAGACTCTGCACATACATCATTCTGCACAGCAAAGGTCCAACATCCAAATTACGTGAAGACGTACAGGTCTAGGGGAGATACCTCGTTGCATGTATGCACAGATTTATAGTGAGCAGGTTTCTACCGTGCATGTTCTACAGACATGTTTTCTGATTACCAGCGTAAACTGATTTCTCTGAATAACCTGTTGCCTTGTTTGCATGTGAACATACTGACTCACTAGAGCAGCTGCTCTCTTTTGGCCTGTACTGTAGGTGATATGGTCATTTATTCATTAGTTTAGGATTAGTAGAAGTGATGCCTTTGCTTCTGCAGTATAAAGATGACAGGTCAGGTCGCAAGAAAACAAAGAATGTCAGATGTCTGATGAAAATGACCCTTGCGGATTTTGCTGTGAGCAGTGAAGGTACAAGACATGTATTTGTTTTTTCCCACTACAGGGCCGATGGCTGCATCTGTTTCAGCTGGTTGAGAAGCAATACCAAGAGCAAATCCTCGCTCAGCAAGAACAATACCAGTGCCAAATACAGGTACACCTGCATTCAGTCAGGTCTTATCATTATAAGCTGGGTTAAAATAATTGGTTATCCTGTAAAATAATTAAGTGTTTTTTTCCTAGTTGATTCAGGATGAGATTAAGGCCCTGGTTCATCTCCAGAATCGCCAGACTGGCATCCAGCCACACACAGAGTTCTCTCCAATGTCTGTGACCAAAACTACCAATAACACATCCCCCCTCATCTCCAGTGGCTGCACAGTCAACAAACATGTGCCCAGTGACAATGACAGCCTGGCGGCCCCAGCTCATACCCCTTTTAGTTCTCCTTCACCTCCGCTCCTCAGATTAGAGGCCAACCAGGGGGAGGAGCAGGCGACTACAGTGCTCAGCAGCGGCTACGGGACTCTGTCTGCTTGGGAAACAGGTCTGGAACCTGCCGGGTCTCTGAGGGAAGATGAGGAAGGTGGTAAAGAGAGGGGGAAGCATCACTGGTTCTCTAACATCCAGGAAGACACAGATACAGTTGCGATTGGGTGCCAGCAGGATTTTGCCAGTGAGAGGAATCTTGGAGAGGAGGAAGAAAACCCATTCATCTACCAGCAGAAAACCTCTGGGTGTGTCAGTTAAACACAACTAACCACAAACGCCTTGACACAGGAGATCCGCAGATCTCAAAACGTCTTTAAAAGCACAAATTTCTGTTTCCTCAAAAAAAAAAAAAAGCTATAAAATGTTTTTGTATCTGATTTTAGCAAAAACTGTCTGGAAGATTCCCAGTATCATTTCAGTGTATTGTTCCAGAGCTCTGACATGACCTCATCCGTACATGCATCCATCCATTATCTATAACGCTTATTCCTGGGTAGGGTCACGGGGGGGCTGGAGTCAATCCAGCTGACATAGGGTGAAAGGGGGATCCACCTTGGTCAGTCTATCACAGGGCTGACACTTAGATACAGACTGACCTCGTTCATATGTGCGCTTTTTTGATTGGCTAATGTGTTCGCTTCATCTGTCTAGTTTTTAATTATCCAGGTCCAAATCATGTTGAATGATTAAATGTGCAAAAACATTTTGTCCAACACACTATAAAGCTCCTTACAGCTGAGCGGCGCTGCACATCTGTAGGCTCATCACTGTGGGTGACCCCATTCACACTGTCACATTGCTTTTATATTGTCATTTGATACATCATCATTATAGTGATACCTATTATAGCTGCTTTGATTACTGTATATTATTAGGAAGTATTATTATATACTGCAGAGATACTGGTAAATAATTCTATGCCTGTTTTTTGCTGATATACGATTTCTGGGATGACCATGAAACTGGATATAAACTGCATTCTATTTGGTATAAAAAAATGTCTAACTTAATGAACCCCGCAGAAACCCTGCCAAGATGCAGTCAGCTTGGTTTGTTTTGGAATTGTGCTTGAACTTACTGTGACCTGTTCTGTTGGCAGCACCGGCCAGCTTTTGACCTCTTGGGCCCAGAGGCAGAAACTCAAGCCCAAGAAGAGCAAAGGACCAGTTTCATCACAAACCCTTGAGTACCAGGAGCAGCCACACAGTCCCAGGGAATCCCACAGACAGAGCCCCCCAGAGAGCACAGACTCCCAGGACCAGGTACAACTCACCACCCGCTCACAGCTGCGCCTTTACGACAGACCAGAGTTTGCAGGGATAATAAATAAAGAGTAATTCTGCAGTGATTTTGTTTGTTGTGGCTGTTTTGGTTACATTCCCGCTGCCGAGTCTAATCCACTTACCTCTGCTGGGTTTCAGCATCGACCAGCTGGGCCGTCGTCCAGCTCCTTTCCCCTGAGGAGGACTGACAGTCTGATGTCTGAGGCATCAGGTAACAGTTCACTGACTCAGACAAACACAGAACAACAAGGCTTGAGCAGTGCAAAGTGGTCACTGACAGCATTCTATGTTTCCTTTATGTAACCCAGGAGATTCCACTGAGGTTTACAGCCTGGCAGAAGTATGACTGATAAAATGCAAAATACAGGATATTACAGTTTTTTATGAAAGATAGAGCCTTGTTGGAGTTACCACAGGTGACAGGTGGCACTGTTGTACCAGCTAGGACTTTTATTACCGGGGAATGCACAATTATTTTCTGAATTGTGATGTGCTAGATCACCTCCAGATTGCTAGATATGCTTTGTGTCTGTTGTATGCCACCACATCAGTTTTAAAGGATTAGATGCATGAAAAGATACAATGGGGGTCTTCACTGACTAGCTGGGTGTTTCCTGAGACCATTGCCGTGCACAACTCTCTGAGACAATAACAATATGTTATGTCCCATAGAAAATCATCAATCTGTGCTTTCTTCTCTTGGCCACAGGCCTCACGTATTGGCGGCTGAATGAGAGTGACCTGTACCATTCCCTACCGGACAGCTTTGACAGAGGCGCTTACCACCTTCTGCAAGAGGCTTCCATGAGTCTTGTAAGTAACAATAGTACAGTTCACAGTGACACGTGCGTCTTGCCTGATGAAGTACTGTGAGTCCTTGTTAATAGTGGATGTGACTAAACATGTTACCAAGGCATGAAGCTAACCACTGAAGCTGTGGTTTTGTTTATCCTGTCCATTTTATCAACTCGCTCCTATCTTTGACAATATTTAGTTGAGGTCCAGAAGGTGTCACTCTTAATCTGATAGGAGCTTCCAGGAGGTTGCATTCAGGCAGAGATATTTTGGGAATGATGACAGTAAGCCTGTTGAAAATACTGTCCTCCTGTGACCTTGGAGTGTTTTACATCGTTGGTTAACTTTCACTGCAGTTCCTGGGAGTGATTCTGAGATGCCTAATAAATACAGGCCCAGATCTCATTTTCTGCCTCCTGCATAGGTTTGTGGCAGGGGAGATTAACTGATAACTTTCAGAATGCACCTGCATTTAGCTGCTGGTCTGAGGTCTCATCTCTGTTTCATGTAGACTCCGTCTCAGGAGCCTCAGCTGTCTCTCAGAGAGATCTATCAGAACCGGCAAAGAACAGAATGGGAAGGCTCTGCTATGTCCAGCCCTTCATCACCACAGGTAGGTCACATAACTCACATAGCAGTTTAGTCCCTGGCTGAAGCCTCTAACCCAAACTCTCCCTCTCTGTGCTTCAGGTGTTGACCTTGGACCCAGCAGCGAACACACAGCAGTCAGATCGTACCTCTGGCTTCACTTCACCCTCTCACTTCAGCAGCCCCTCGTTGGTCACTCAGCCCCTCCTCCACCAAAGAGTCGAGACCCCTGTAACCCCTGACAGCATGGTGGAGTGCAGTCCCAACCCTGGAGATACAGACTGTATCTCTGACACCTCCAGTGTCTCAGCTGCCGGGCCTTCCCCCTCCAAGGTGCAAAGCACATGGGGAAACACATCCCAGGCAGTCCTGTCTACCTCCCAGGATAGGACCCAGGCGTCCCACACAACCAACCAGCAGCATAGAGCCAGTGCCCCCTTAGCCAGTGAAGAGGAGGGCAGTCATACCCACACCAGCACCCTGAAGCCATCTCCAGGCTCTGGTGCCACTCTGCGGCATGCAGTCAGCCCACACGTGGATAGAGCTTCATCACTAGAGGATCCTGTTGTCCTCTCTCTGTGAGTACATATCTGCAGTATTTATCCATACAACAGGTAGCTGCTTAACTAGTGGTCTGTTTTAATTACTTTATCGAAAATCGCTGATGACCAGTTTTCCTCAAAGGGCTTTATAATATGAACAATGTACCAATTCTCTATCTTTGATTTGAATAAGGAGCAAGTCCCTTTAACAGGGAGGAATGAAAGAAACCTGAGGAAAAGCAACAGAGCAGGTTATGTTCCAGGATACTGAAATCCTGCCATCAGAATATTATGATACCAGTCTCAGTGTGAGCACTTAACTGGGAGTCATCCAGCCATGTACTTGGTTGGATTTGAAACTAGTCCATATTTTGGTCCTTGTTGGTCTGTCTTGTATGCATGGCAGTGGTGAGGTACCTCAGTCATCTCCTTTAAGCAGTTTCATTCACCTTCTCCTCCTCTTTTTTGTCTCAGACTAAGGCAGAACCTGAGAGAGAAATACTCTCGACACGTGGCTGATCTGAAAGCATATTACGAGTCTGAGATCCAGATCCTGCGAGACAGACTCAAACTCAGAGATCTGCCTCAGGATTTAGAAAAGAGCAACCAGGCCCTCACAGAGAGGTTTGCATGTACTACTTATTATCTACTTATACCATATCTAGTTTTATATAATGTTTATATCTTCATTCTTATTGCTTTTAATCCCTTTGTACTCCTCCACCCCAGGATAGTAAGAAAATTAAAGAAAACTATACAATACAGAAGAAAAATGTTTATAGTTAGTTGAGGCTGTGGAATGTGGCCAAAACAGCTATAAAGTTGTTTATGGTCCAGAATTAACTTTCACAGACTATATTGACATTTTTCAGTGAATTAACAGTCATCACATAAAGTAGGTAAATCCATTTATCATGATGCATTAGTGCAGTGTCCCAAAAGGATTTCACATATGTTAAGAGGGAAATAGGGATGAAAATCAAGTAAAATACTACATCAGACAGGTTTTCGATACCAGTGATAATCAGCACATGAATGAGGCTGTGTAGGAAGGACCCCACGTTTCCCCTGCAGACATTACACTTCTGTTTGGATTCATTTTGTTTAATTTTTTAACTCTGTTCCATTATGATTTTTTTTTATCCACAGGTGCAAACATCTAGAAGAAGCTCTAGTTGAGGCCACCAGACGCATTCAAGAACTGGAGGCAACAAACCGCTCGCTGGGGGAAAAACTGGTATCACTTATTTTTACTTTGTTATAATTAGTGGTTAAATTAGCAAACAGCATCTATGTTACGTTTGTGTGTATGTACTGATGACAGCATATGGTTGTTTAAAATATTATTTACCAGAAAATGGCTGAAACCCAGAGGTTGATTAATCGATTCATTATTTTATTTATTACATTTAAGAAAATAATAAATGTTATAAGTTCCTATAGTGACAAAAAGTATGAAACCCTCAGGTTGAGAAGTTGGGGCCAGCAAATGTTTGATATTGTGAAATAATTCATTGATTATGAAAATGGAAATTAACAAATCAATTAACTGATTAATTAGTGTGGTTCTAATGGTGTCATGAGGCCGTAGGCACTTGTCACCTTTTAATGTCGGCAGTGTGTTAAGTACATGCATTTAGTAATTGTGACGTCACGTTTCGCTGACAGGCAGACTGGCCGGAGCGGTACGCTGTAGCGGGCGCTACTGTGAAGTCCATGCAGCAGCGACTAGAAGAAAGCAAACGCTCGGCCAAAGAGAAAGATGCCCTGTCAGCTCGTTTGAAGAGCCACATACGGCAGCTGGAGGACGCTGCACAGAGAGCCTGCAGGGAGGCGGATGAGAAAGAGGCCAGGAGGGAGAGAGAGCACAAGATGCTGCAGGATGTGAGTCCAAGTGGGAAAGAACATGATGTGATAAGGATATCATGAGTTCCTCCAGAAGTTTATATCCTTAATGTCTAAAGGGCCCTCCTTCACTGGAACCTTGTTGCTGTTGTCCTTTTGTTTTTTGTTTGAAATCTTTTTCCCAAGCAGACCTGATGTATCTCTGATGTGCTCTACAGAGTGGTTGCTCCATAATGTGTGATTATATTTAGCGCCTGTATTAGCATCCGTGTGTTTGCACGCTCTGGAGTCATGGCACTGTGAAATGCATCTTCTTTATCTTGCAACTGTGCAGAATCTTTATCATATAGGGATGCAGTAATTGAGCAATCTGCTCAGATATTGATCTTATTAGTCAAATCAGATATTAGACCACTGTGACTGATCCACACTATCGCAGCAGCAGAGCTGTGTTGGTCAAGAAGTGATGTGTAACACTTACAGCCTCATGTTAAGTTGCACAGCAATGATCCCAGTGCAAGAAACTGCTGCTCTGTATTAGTGGATACCCTGAGTTTAGGTCTTGTATCAGGAGAGACAAAGCTGGATGGACTGGTGCATCCCTGTTCCATTTTACATATCTGTCTGCCAGCACTGATGTTGGTCTCTGTTGTTTTGTTTCCTCAGCTGCTCAGAGAATATGACTCTTTGGTGAAGGAGCACGAGGGAGTGAAGGTAATGTTTCTCTCACTGTGACTTACTGTACATACTGTATTTAGTTTGATTATCACTGTGACAGGATCAGTTCTCTTCATGTCATATCTTCATTCAGCCTCATGCCATTTTCAACATGTTTGTATCTGCAGAACAACCTTGTGTCCACAGAGAACAAGCTGGTTGAGGCCAGTGATCAGATATCTGAGCTGAAGAGGTGAGTGGGTGTTACTCAACACTGTCAGGCAGATAGGCTTGTGTACTATTTTAGAAGTTCTATTTTCTGTCAGTTCAGGTGATTATAAAGTCTCAGGGAATGTTGGACAGTTTGGGAAGTGAGGCTGTTGCAGAAGTTTAGGAAAGGTTGCTACCCCTCTGATGTGTGTACAAGAAATGCAAAGCTGGAGCCAGGAAACATATGTAAACAGATTACAATACTTTGATTAACCACTGGATTTTATTTAAATGTCCTTGTATCATTTCTTAACATCTCAAGATCACTGTTTGCATTTGCTCCTTTTCTCAGTAAACATGCATCTGTGATTGGTGTGTTTGCTCTGCAGTCTTCTTCCCTGATAGCTTTTTTTTTTAACTCACCACTGTTCCTAGCAGTGCCATCGCCCACTCGTGCACCAAGAGCCAACTACTGTGCTAAGGAAGAAATAACAATCAGCTTGATCGTGTGTCTCACTGTCCTGAAATGCTGTGATCTGTCCCCTCAGGGTCATCTCCAAGCTGGAGTCTCAGGTGAAGCAGCTGGAGCACGAGAACCAGGCCAGGGCCCGTTACGCTTCTCACAATAACACACAACCTTCTGGGGTTGGGTAAGCACCTACACACTTACAGCGGGGTACCTGCATATCCTTCAGGAGTGTTGCGTGCTGGTTAATTTCAAGCTAAAATGCTATTCAATATTCACTGGGCACTATTGGCAATTATTCAAAGACCCTAACTAACCCTAACCCTAACCCTTGCTTTAGAGTCCTGCTTGGTGTTGGCTAGCAGCACACTGCTAGCATTGTCTTCTATGCATACTCTGACTTTACTTTTAAGTCCCCAGTGTTCCATGGCGGTGGAAAGCACATTTGCCAGGTTTTCAGCAGTATGCTATGCTGATTACTGTGTGCAAATCACAGAACTTCTGCACCCAGCTGCTTTAAATATACTGTTTGTTTCTCTTAACAGTCTGGTTATTAGGATATTAGATTTTGTTGCCGTTACATTTGTGCCTGCTGTATGTTTTTGACAACTGGCGCCTGTCAAATATTGAAATGCTTCTTAACACATCCACAGTTTCTTCCACCATCCTGACCTGCTGCTGTCACCCAGTAAATGCCAGACGGAGCCAAACGTCACCTGTAGGAAACCCCCTGCTCTTCTATCTCAGCAGTTCCACAGCGGCAGAAAATCACCATTCCCTCCAGCTAACCAAGCAAGTATCCACAAGAAGTCACCGTCATCAGGAAGTGGAAGCTCTGTAGACACGGGCTCAGCTGGTGGCAGCTGGAGGTAGATTTCTATCATTGTGGGTATTTCCTCAGCCAGAGTTAGTGAAGATTTTCACGGAATTACTCATCTTCTGTCCGGCAGATGTGCGTCTCCTCCAGAGTGTGAGCAGTCTCTGGCTCAGACCAGACGCCCGGCGGAGAAAGAGACCGGGTGGAGGGAGGGATCCTGTGCCCTGACGCCCATGATGAGAGCGCTGATCGAGCTGGAGGAGACCCGAGCCACAGAGAGCCGGGCCCCCTGTAAGAACAGCACCTACAGTATGACTCACACTCACGAGTCCTGACCAACATTCACATTTAAAACTCATATCTATCTTTGTGAATATCTAGTTATAACATGAAAAGCATCTCGTAAAAAACAAGATACATAAATGTGGATAAACTTGACTGTTGAAAGTCTAGAGGAGAGGGCACAGGCCAGATGTCGTGGAGAAGGAGGAGACTGAGAAGTTGTTGCAACAGCAGCAGGAAAAGAAGGGAACAATGGCTGCAGTCAGTTTTACAGAGCAGTATGTGATCTCTGGCTGCTGTGAAGCCACTGGTTCCCAGTCAGGGCAGTTTTCTACACGCTCATAGTGGTCTGAGGTGGTCTTTAGTGTCAAGGCAGAAATAGTTACTGTTAAAAAGAAACAGCTTATTTACAGAGTGGCTAGCTGTGCTGAGTAAAGGTGGATGTTACATGTTCATGTCACCAACGCTTTATGTCATGAAAAATAGCTAGAATGTTTTTAAAAGTTGAAAAACATCATGTCAGAATAACAATAAAATGTCACCACCCTTTTTGTCCAACAAAAGGTCCAGACCTAAATAAAAAAACATTTTACTGTCACATAAGGCAAAGAAAATCTGCATATCCTCACAACTGACAACATGGAACTTGAATGTTTTTAGGCAGGATTCATTTCCTGTTGATTGACTGATTGACTGATTGATTAATGAGCAGTTCTGCATTTTTCTGTTAATTCATTATAGACAGATCAGACACCCTAATAGTATCTCTGTGTGGTTCATAGTCCAGTGTGTATGTAACGTGTGTTTTTGAATCATGTCCGCGTGGTGTCTCCACAGGGGTTGGTAGTCAGAGGACCACAGTGGGTTTTGTGGAGATGAGACACAAAAAGCCGATTCAGGAGCGAGTCAGGCTCCAGGCGGACAGGGAGGTGGTTTCACCTGGAGGAGTCGAGGCCGGAAACGAGCGAGGAGTGGGAACAAAGAGCCACAGAGGAGCTGGAAGTGCTGCAGCTCTGCTGAGGGCTCAGAGGAGTCTGTCTCCAGAGGGTCACAGGTCCGCCTCACTGCCTCCTCCAGCACATCGAAACATACCCACAGCCACACCCAGTATGTACTCCCAGGCCTGCACACTCACCCCGCCTCAAAGTTTGTACCTGTCGTTCTCTATGTACTGTATGTAAACACAGCTTTTTTGCTTTTGTCGATTAGTTAGTTACGGACAGATAAAAATTGTATGTCTTGTCTTCACATCTGCAAACATGCTGCCACTTCTCTTTTTGTCCCTTTTATCTTTGGTTAGACGAAGCATTTTGTAAAAGATCGAGAAAGTACATGTAGGTGTATAGCATTTACAGTTCTTAACCTTTTCTTATAAAGTGCACTTTGACTATCTGCTGCTACTAATACTACTGCTAATTTTGTTATTTATACTTCAGGCTTTTCAAGAGAAGTTTTTTGGGTCACTAAAACTCTCTGGAGAATTGAGTTTTTAATTAATATTGTGTTGGGGTTTTAAGGCTTGAACTGACAGCGTGCTGTTCTCTGTCATCCAGCAAAGAGAGAAACTTTACTCACACCCCTGTCCGCCAAGTCCAGCCCTAAACGCTGCCCCACTGAGAACTACTCCACCGCCTTCGGGCACATGATGCCGAGAGAGGAACACCTGCTCAAGAGGTAAGGAACACAGCTTCTCATCGCAAACAAAGCGTCGTTCTTTTATCATGAAGCGTTTCACCGACTATTGGGGACCCTTAAATAAGCAGCATCACAAAGCTGCTTATCATCTGGGTCAGTTAACTCTGGGTTTTCTTAAGGATGTAGCTCAGTAATGTTTGAGGCTACATCAAATCTGGTGAGACTGAGTCGGCAGAGTTTCAGCTAGAGTTTGATCTGTACCTTCACTTGTTGTCTCACAGCAGCCAGTTTTCTGAGTCCTGTAAATGAACATTCTGGATCAGCAGATCTGGATTATTACTGGGATCCAGATCAGACTTTGCTGTGTGGGGATGTTATGCAGTTTCTGTCCAAGCATTCAAGGCATTGTGTGTGGAGCGAAAAGCAAAAGCAGGAACACTTTAAACAATTTCTGTGTTCGAATGATGATCTGTGCCAAAATCTGATGAACTGTTGCCAGACCCTATTTCTCCAAAACATTTCAGCCAAACCCATTCATAACGTTTTGAGTTATGCTGTGAACAATCCAGCAAACAAACAAACACCAGCAAAAACATAACCTCTTTGGCAGAGGTAGTAGGATCTCATAAATAACAGTAGGGCTATAAATAAGAGTGGGAATAACGCTGAACCAAGTTGAACTTGTGTTGTGGTTCAGGACCCTGCTCAGGAGCAGCTGGAGTCAAAGGTGAGCCAGCTTTGTGATGCAGAAAACCTGAGTTAAGCCTGAAGGTGGCTGGATAACCCACTAGTCTCACTTAGTGACACAGGTCCTGGATTAAAACCATGTGTACGGTTTTATTACCATCAGAATTACAAAAGTCTGCTGCAAAAAATAGAAACAGAAATCATGGAATTGAGCATGTAGGTTGTGTTTGGAAATGACAGTTGTGGTATATGTCACAGCGACATGCAGCACATGAGTGTCCGCTACATTAAGGTTCTACTGTCGAGGAGACAAGTGTGACAGAGTAGGAACATGAATCTGGGTTCAGGTGGCCGCTGTATGGACACGTACAGTGTTTCATTTGGTCACTGCTTTTATCCAAAGTGCCTTGTGTGTTTCACTCTGCTGGTCCCAGTGACACTGTAGATTCTTGTCTTTGCAGTGTGAAGGCCATCCGTTAACTATTAACTACAGCACTAGCTAAAGAGATGCTAAGTTCAATCAGGCAGCACATGATTTGTAACAGCATGAGCAGAACATGAGCAGAAGTGAGGACAGTGGCATGGCCACCTTTCCTTCTTTTGTCAAGGCTGTCGACACTTTGGACAACTCCGATTTTTTTTTTCTCCAGCTGCAGCTTTAAAGAGTAAAAACTCCTAGGTGACATTTACCACAAGGCGACAGCCTGCTGTTTCCTCAGCAGGTACAGTATTGTGAAGTGGGTCACACAGAACTCACAGCTTGTTCAAACGTAGTGTAGAGAAAGTCTCAGCTCTGCACATCTCTCTGAGTCAGTTTCGGAGAGAGAACTGCAGAATTTTTCCCAACCAACCCAAAGGACAAACAGGATGTCCTGTGTTACACATGTTCCTTGTGTCGTCTCCAGGTTTGATGGACACGTTGACCAGAGACGTCATTCGTTCCACAGCAGCAGTTCCAGGAAGAGACTCCAGTTTACGTCAGCAGAAAGAGAAGATGGTAAACTGCTCAGGCGCTGGCCTCCTACATGTTCTTCTCTGACTCCACCAATTTACGTATCATCGCAGTCCTGTAACACTTTACTATAGACGGGTGGTCGAATTTGATGCAGTTGAACCAGAGACAAAACCTGGCACCTGTATTACCCAGAATGCATCTTGAATATTGACGGTTTGGTTGGAGATTGGGGGGGTTACACCACAGGGTGTACCTAACAAAGAGTCCTGTGATGGTCAGTGTCTGCATGTGTGTCTTCCTCTCCCCTCAGACCATCGGCAGCTAGAGTCCTGTGACAGTGCGAAGCCGCCTGATGGAAGCTCCCAGCTGGGCTGGGAGGAGCAGGGGGCCTGTACTGGGTCTGACCAGCAGGACGCCTGTGAGGACTCAGCCCCCCTTCTCCCGGACAAACTGCACTCCCTGGCCGAGGCTGAGAAACTGTTTGACGAGCTGACACAGGAGAAACTGCAGGTGAGTGTTTTATCTGGACACACACTCCCACAGCTCATGACATCACACAGCGTTGTTTGCACTCGCCAACCAGGAGGTTTTTTTTATGAACTGAGAAATGCACTGAAGGGGCTGTGTGTAGTGACACACTGAGATTTATCTGTGACACACAGGGCTCAGCAGAGCAACTCTAAACCCCAGCTGACCTCTTATGTAACAAGGACTTCATCGCTTTTATACCATCGCTAAATGATTTCTATTTTTAGGAAGTGCATAACCACCACTGCCTTTCTACCCCCTCCTCCAGTCCTGGTCATGTGGGATGTCTGCCTCCACATTTGCACAGCACACACACACACACACACACACACACACACACACACACACACTTTCCCACCTGACTAATCTGATGAGTCCAGTGGTGTTTCAGTTATCTTTGTTCATAAATCGTGACCCTTTATCCCTTTATGTGTGTGTGTTGGGACAGATTGAGGCAGCCCTGAGCCGGATGCCTGTAGCAGGAGGCAGAGTCAGTCTACAGACCAGGTTAGATGAGGTAAGGCAGCAGGAAATCCATTCACATATTGATTGTGCTTATGTAACTTCACCATGTTGTTTGGTTTTAAATGAGGTCTGTTCTAGCTTCTCACATATGAAGATTTGCTGCTTTTCTGTTTTACATTGTTGTAAGTTGAAAATCTGACTCAGCCCAACGTCGCAGTCCAGAGCACAATACTAGTGTGGCTAAAAAGCAGCAAGTCTTCCATTTGAAAAGCTGAAAAATGACATTCTAAATAACATTCTAACCAAAAGTAATTTAGGAATGAAGGTGCCAGTTCAGTTTCTGCTCCACTGTCGTCCTCAGGTGGCCTTAGAGAATCGTCTGGAGAGACTGAATCGTGAGCTGGGACACATCCGCATGACTCTGAAGAGATTCCATGTCCTCCGCACCTCTGCCAACATATAGCAATGTCTGTCTTTTTACATTACACTGTAGATGCTACACAGCACTGATTGTCTTCTGTGCCACAAACCCATCTGTACAGTAATGCCACAGCATCTTTTTATATGTATTATTACTCTGGGATATTTTTTATATGTCTGAAAGATACTGCAATATTTGGAGTATATTTTTAGTAAGATACAGATTTGTAAAGTCATTTACTTTTTTAGTCACTCAAAAATATTAAGATGATATGTTTTACTTGCCATATTCAGGTGTAGATTTTTAAATCAGCTGTATTTCAGTGTAAATGTGAGACTTTCCAGCAGAGTCATTCATCCACCTGGGGCATATCACTGCCTTTTTTGTTCTGGTGTTTATGGGAAAAAACATGTTTTTCGTTTGACATGGCATAAAATGTATTTATTGAATGTTTTTATACTTAAGAGATTTTGATTTTGGTGCATTTTACATGTTTTCTTTATCTTTTAGAAGTAGGAGTTACTATTTGTTTTGGGCCAAATGGTTGAACTTGAAGGAAACATTTGTTTACTTGAATCAAATTGCCTTTTTTCTTTTTTTACCTTCCATGTCTACCTGTCACTGTTTTCCTTCTTGCTACAGGACAGGACCCTCCGGATTACAGCCACTAGTAAAATCCAAACCAGCAGACATTTTCACATAGTGTCAAATCCTCAGTTGATTGTTTCACTGCGAGTATTGCTTGTGCATGAAGTTTCTTGCACTGCTTCCATTTGTCATGCAGTTTAATGACATGAGTTCACTGGAACTATAATATTGTTGTTGCACAATAAATGAAGCTTTTTAATAACTGGAATTATTCTTCAATTTTATGCCTTTATAACAGGCAGATTTAAGCCCCCAGGGCCTGAACCTCATGCATGGATAACTGAGTTCTTTGAAGCTGGTTTTAGATTTACCTAGCTAAAACGATCAAGACATCTTAGGGAGAACCTCGTACATGATCTCTTTTTCAGACACAAATGGTTCTGTTTCTTATAAAGGAACAATGATGATATAATTATGATTTTAAATAAGGGTGTACATGTTATTGAGAGTGATGTTATCTCCACAAATGAATGACCTACACATGATAGAATATAAAAATAAGTCAGAGACTAAACAAAAAGACATAAACTCAACTAAAAGATTCTGAAGAAAATTCATTTTGATATTAAAACAATGTCTTGTAACCATTAAAACTTTAATGATGAAGGTAGAGCTGACTTTGCTTAAAATTCACAGGAAATATGGAGATTAACGTTAATGAAAGTCCAACACTGCTGTTCTGTCATCCAGCCACATCTTTCTGTGGAAAGACAGAATATTTCTACCCTGTGGTATTGTTACTAAGTTCTGAGTAAAAGTCACTCAGCTTTTCCCGTTTAGGGGTCGCAACAGCGAATCGTCACACTGACGACTGGCATGGTGACATTTGGCACGTGTTTCACGAAGGATGCCCTTCCTGACGCAACCCTGACCCCAACCCTGACCCCAACCCGGGCCTTAACCACCAGCCTACCAGGGACGGCTGGTACTACGTTCTGAGTACCTGAGGAATTCTGTAATCAGTTCAGCTGTGCGCCGCTAGGAGGCGCCTTGGTCCTTTGGCTCCTGCAGAGAATGTTCTGTCTTCTCATGTGTATATTATCGTCAGCCTCCAGCAACACACTGGAGCTGAAACCCCGGACTGGACAGCTGTTAGTTGGATGATGGAGGTGCAGCGGTGACATCTGGACATACCGGGGAATGAACGCCGTGTGCGGAGACATCAGGACGTTGCCGCACGCATCCCTCACAGAACGTGACAGCGATGAGGCACACAGGCTTTCTGCACTGTGGAGATGCAGCTGAATAACCTGGACTGCAGATAAAACTGGGAGCTGCAGGTGAGTCCCTAATGATCTGATTGCTAATGTTCTGGCACATCTCATGGTAATGAGGCGAATTGACTCGATGTAAATGTTAATAATTTCCACTGTTATATTTGGATTGAATTGGCCTGCAGTGTGCAGGTGGCATCCAAGATTGCACCTGTACTAGAACAAGCCAGCTGATCATTAGTCTGCTCATTCTTATCTATAGCAGGGTTGTTTGGAGAGAACGTGTGGGTGCGTTTGCATGCTGTGATAGTCTCCTGTATCAACCCCCGGGGAGTAAACTCACCGGTTACCTAAACCTCCCAGTATTCCGTGTACCTTCTTGCACATTTTTAACAACAGAAAATATACTTTAGGTACTCCATTAAAGTAATTCATCCTCGCACACCCAGTATACCGTTAAATGTAAAGTGTGCATGGCCGAATTAACGTGTTAGTGAGTTCAGGGTTAACGATACTTGCTGGGCGCCTAGTAAGCTACAAGATAAGATTAATAACCCAAGTGCACAAAACAATACTTTGTTCCCACAAGATAATAACTTGTTAGCCCAAGATAATAAATACCCATTTTGGTACTTTAGGGGCTCCGTACTTCCTTCCTCCAGCTAGTTTTGGGCCAATTAGCAATATTGTCTTGTGTTAGCCATTTAGCGAGTTAGCCAAGTGGAGCGTAAAAGTTTAGATGTAAAAATCCATATATCTGCCATCATTGTCAAGTGACACAAGTTCCAAATCAGCTAAACTAAGGAGATATAATGACAATTATATTGACTTTGACTTTATCAAACCAAGGGAGATGACAATGTGTGACCTGTTTTTCGGTTGTTATCAAATGAGGCTAATGTTAGCCTAGCCAACGCGCCAAGTGACAGCTCAGCACATTTAACTCCCGCAAGTTATTTCGAGAAAGTGTGAGAAAAACACCCGCCAGAAAAAGCAAATGGTTAATCTTACAACAGTTTCAGAACAAGCACAGAAGGCGTTTTATTTGGTGGTAAATAAAATAACCTGCACATAATTGGACTCACTTCCAGCTTCACTTCATTTGTTTGAAGCTGCTATAAGTTAAAAATGGTTCCTCTTTCAAATTTCACAGTAAGGAGGAGAACTGAGGAACCTTTGCAGGAGCAGGCTAAACCGACTTATAAGGCCATGACATTTTTGCCTCCCTTATGTGCCATCATTACCCACACTATGTCAACTGTAACTCCAAGACCAAAGACAGGCAGACACTTCAAGTAAGCTGTTGTGATTGAAGTAGCATGAGAACTTAAACTGTGCAGTGTTGAAAACCCCAATATGTTCTGTATAAAAGTTTATTTATGATGTGCTTATAGAGTTAGAATGTCTCCCCTCCCTGGCCTGAAAAAGATGGAGAGGTCCTGCTTTAAATAATCAGTATTATTACATGGTTTCTGTGCAGTGAAGGAGTTCAATTAATCTTATACATATCCAAATGGACCTGCTGAAGCACCAAAAAAAGATAAAGTGTGGAGAGTTAATGAGTAGTAATTAATTTTGTTAGGTGACTTCTTTCAGCATTGAAATACTCCTTTTAAAGTGCACATGCACACCACTTTTGCAATTGTCTCCCAGTGTATAGACAAGCTTTACTTGAAGCCTTTTACAGCACCTTGATTTCTCTGGCTTAGTCTTCATCCTGGCCCACTACTGTATATGCTAGTGTTCAACATGTTCAGCAGCCTTTTGGTGAATGTGGTTGTGGTAAGTTCTGCTCTCACTGAAGCCTCTCTCCTCCTTCAGTCCACTTAGATGCTAAAGAGGCATCAGAGGCGGCAGTGGTGCAGTGGGTAGAGCAGTTGTCTCCCAACCAGAAGGTTGAAGGTTTGAATCTCAGTGCATCCAGTCCATGTATCCAAGTGTCCTTTGGCAAGACACTGAACCCCCCCATTGCCCCTGATGGTCAGAGCCATCGGTTGAGTTGGTGCCACACATGGCTGCCATCGGTTCTATACCAGAAACAAATTCCTTGTGTGTACCATACTTGGCCAAATAAAGGTGATTATCCTTATCCAAAATACTCAGGGGAAATTGTGCATCCCGCCATGACACCCATCTCCACCTGCTGCCACACCCTTATAACCTGGCAAATGTGAAACATAACAGCATTCCCTCACTAGCTCTTTGACTATGTCTGGTACCTTGAAGTGTTTTAATGGAAAACTGTGATGAATCTTTTTATCCATGCTTGTGTGGCTACACTGGACGTTATGTTAAACATCTTACTCTTCTTACTGGGATTCTGGCAGCTGTGTAAAAAGACCACTCGGTCAACACTGCACCGGCTTTATCTGGTTTAGTGTAAATATGCAAAGTTGTTACAATAAAGGGTCAGCTTAATGGCAGCATCCCTGGATCTTTGTCTGAAAGAGGTATTTTGGGTTCATATAGTTTACATATTGTCATAACAGTCCATGAAATAGCTTCACCAGCTCCAGAACCAGATGTATCCTGCTGCTCCCCTATCGCTGCCAGCATCAGATCCGTTGCATGATGTACAGACCCTGTTTCCTCTCATTCCAGGTTCATTGTACATGGGTTTAGTGTGTGTGGTGGTGCAGAGAGAAAGAAGCTGGAGCTCACAGGATCTGATTATCGGGCCAAAATGATTAGGTTGCTTTAATGAATGCTGTTAGGATGTAGCCACCACAGAAAGAATGAGTCATAGTATTGATTGCCGCCCCCTCCTTCACTTGTTCACTCTCTCTACCTTCACCCTCTGTCTCTCTCTTTTGTCTATTTATCCCTTTTTTACTCTCACCCCTTCACATGTTTATTTTTATCATCCTTTCTCTGCCAGATTTATTTCCCCCACTTCTCCACAGAAAAGACAGAGATGATTTGAGGAGTGGTGGCATGCAGCCGAGCTGAGCGTTGCGTACCAATAACAACCTGACTTGTTTGGTGCTGCAGTCTGGATGAGAGAGAGAGGAGGGTGTCGGGTAGTGGGGGTCTTGTCACGAGATGCCACGTCACAGCAGTGTGTGAAATCTATTTTTAGCAGCATAAGCAGAGGGATTCCAGCCCACTGATCACGGCTTCACCGTCAGGACCGTGTGGTGGGAGGCTGCTGCAGACGCTCGATGTGAATGAACGCCAGCTGAATTAAGACCTGTCTGTTTCCTGCCGCTGTCACTCCCCTCCCCTCCCACCACCTCCGCCTGTCAGGGCGTAACACTGTGCTGCAAATCGGCCAGCGAGCTCACAGCGTGTGTGCTTGACATGCAACCACATATGCACTCTCATAGGGAACAGTATGCACACCGGTGGTGGAAAGTAACTAATAATTATAATGCAGATTGTTACACGCAAATAAGCAGTGCAACAGATGTAATGCCACATGGCGTCGCGCTGAAACTAATTTGCTGCCTGTAGTGTAGTGTGCATGATTCACAGATGATGGGGTGTGTTGGTCTTTGGTTCGTGTTACCATGCTAACTCTGAGAGACGAGACAGTCCAAGTAACTTCAAAACAGTGCTGATTTATTCAAAGGATCACAGGTAAAATCAACATTACACACTCAGGTATCTTCCACCTCCAACCTGCACGCAGGCAGATGTAAGATGAAAGACCCTGAACCCACCAGGCCTATACATTATATCCCCTCGGTTGGGCTAGCCCCATACTACACAGAAACGTCAACCGAGACGTCTCTGTTACCAGCTTTGCAGCTGGTCATAGCAGTAGTCAAAACATGAAGCAAATCAATGTGTGTGTGTCTGTTGATTAAGTGGTGTGTAGCTAAAAACATTCTCACGACCTCTAGTAACATGTCGTGACTTAAACATAAGAACATATTATGGCTAAGGCTACAGTTATACACGTCATAATAATAATATTAAACACCCTGTCTGCTGACAGTCATCAACTCTTCTCTCTAGTTATCCTTGACCAGATGTACCCTGTAGAAACTCATAAGCATGACTAAGCATTTAACAGTCTAACTAGACATCCTATCTCCACTAAACATTTCTAATACATAAAGTATCTATCCAATTTCTATCTGACTAAAAATACCTAACAGGTGTGACCCCAATTATGAACACAGTGTACTTACTCTAATTAGGAATTGTTGAGGTCGAGCAAGGTGTTGTGTTCTCATCCAGTATTCACATATGGACGAGGTAGAACAGTGCTTACTTCATACTTTGTGACTGTTGGTTAAAACCAATCTCTGTTTCCTTAGAGATTAATCCAAAGCATATACTAAAGAGGCTGTTAAACACCAGCCTACATTTATTTGGCATCTTTAAGAGTTACAGGTTGTTAGGCCTTAGAAATACACTTTTTAGTACCGTTATAAGTAAAAACTGAAACCATGTAGTGTTTTTCTTCAACAAATATTGGTGAGTCCAGGGTGTGTATCACTGTTAGGCTGCTCCAAGTTGGCGTTAAGTTAATGGAAGTGAAGAGTTAAACTGCCTAACTTCAAATTATTAATTGAACATAGCATTAATTGAAGGTTATCTTGACTTTTTTACAGTTTACTAGGGGTGGGACAATATATTGAAATTCAGTATATTGCAATACAAAAACTTCACAATATGTATCATTTTCTCTAGCACTATATGTCGCATGGTCTCCATTCACTAGCAACTCTTTGTAAATAAGATGGCCTAACAACAGGCGCTTAATCTCCCTAACAAATGAAAGGCCCTGGTTTCACTGGAGTCCAGCTCCTGACAGTGTGCTCCGTGTCTTCCATGCTTCACTGGCTGAGGGCACCTGTATATTAGCCAGCCTTGGAGGCCTGGAGCTGGGCCAAACGGTAATGGTATTGGGCCGAGGACCGCAACTTCCCCCGCTTTATCTCTGGGGCCTTCAAATGACGCAGCTCAATTAACAACGATGTCTTCCTCTGTTGTCCTACTGTTTCCTGTGTATCACTCTATCTCATTAACAGCAACCTTTCCTCCTCTGACCGAAATATCTAGGAACCCATCCAAAGTCAGTGATTGAAGTGTTGAAGTGTTGAAGAGTAAAACTGTATTTTTCTTAATCCTATCTAATATCTTTTGAGTTTAGATAGTGACAGACATGAAATGTTTGCTGGTTTGGATGTTTACAAATGACATGATCAGTGGTTTATAGACGCTCTTTGCCCCTCACATTGTGTACTGTTTCTTAGCGACAACATAAACTACAGATGCCTGGTTGGGACAAACTGTACAAAGAGCAGCCTCCAGCTTGAAGCTAGCGCTAGCTGGCTAACAGTAGACGTGTCAGTCCAGTAGAATGCTCTCCAACACAGCTCATAACCCTCTCCATGCCAAACAACCAAACCCATGTTAACCCTGGTTGTTGATCTTTCTTTGTCCCACTCTCTCTGTGCTAAAGACGCCACCTCTTCAGTCTGGCAGACCCTGGTTCAGACTTTTAGCTGCCCAGAGCTCCTCCATGGCTGTTTGACATGACTACTGGCTGGAAAAACCCTTCTTCTAACCTTGGCTAGGCGGCAGGCGGGGCTGATTTACAGACCGTCAACGCAGGGTGGAGAAGCTGGAATAACAACAGGAGGCTGTAGGCAGCAGAGGGTCATGGAGGGGGGGTGTAGCTGAGAGACACCACGTCCCACTGTCACTGGGGTTAGCAGACAATGTGGTAAATCTTAGTTAATACACTTTTAAAGTATTTTAAATGCTATTACTGTTAGTGACTTTAAATCAGTTGTAAAAAAAAAAAAACGTAGCAAAATAAATCGGTGAATTTCTGTTCCCAGCACTGTGAACGCCATCACTGACAAAATACACAGACTAACAACAGGTCAATACGAGTCTCTCCTCAGACACTGGTGCATCACTTGTCATTTACCAGAACGGAGGAAAGCAGTGCATTTTTAGAAGCCTTGCAGCTAACCCCTGCCAGCAGCCCCCTCCACCGTCACCCTGAGCTAAAAATAGCCTCTCACAATCCATTAGATCAGGACTGCGCTCACTCTCATTTGCTGCTCATTCCTTTTTTATGTTGTGATGATTGCTGTTATGTCATATGATCCCATTAGCTGTTGGGGGATACATTTGGCATCCATCGAAGAATGGAAACTTCGAGCTAATTTGACATGGAAATCAGTTTTTAAATAAGGTGCAGTCATCCTAATCTGTTGTAGTCTGTTTTATTCAATCCTACAAAGGTATGCTTTTGCTTTTCTCAGGATAGTTTAAGGAAGGAAATTGTTTGACTTCTGCCCTATAGGTGTTATTTATGGAGTGTGACTGTGGGATATTTAACAACACTTAATGTGTGTTAGTTCTTGTGCTCAGAATTCCTGTTTGTGTGCACACCTTGCTAAATAAGCATTAGCAGGACATCAGTGACTCACTGGATCTCATCTCGGCTGTTTCTCATTGACAGGAGGAAGGGTGGGGACCAATCACTGCTGGAAAAGGACTGCAGGTCAGTGACACCATCTCAGGCTATCTATAGCTCTGAAAATCAATTGATTCCCATCTGCTGAGCAGTGGTGAAAGAAGTATTCTCATCATTTATTTATGGAAAAGTGCCAGTACAACAATGTAAAATGCTCCACTGCAAGTAACAGGCCTGTATTCTTAAATATTCTGAGCAAGATGAATATAAGTAGTCATTGTGCAGTAGAATGTCTCCTCTGGCTGAAGAATAAGTTATGCAAACAGTACTGAGCCTAACTATAAAGTAAAGATGAAAGTAAATAGCGACAGCACCAATAACGAGCAGTGAAGTGTGAGATGTGAGTGAGTAGGGAAGTGATTCCATCTGATGGAGCTTTAAGTACGAACAGTATTGCTTATAATACTCTTAATAAGACAGGATTTTGAATGAAGGGCTTTTGCCTGTAATCGAGCATTTTTATGTTGTTGTATTGGTACCAAACAATAAATCTGAGTACCTGAAAACAATGGAAATACCGGTAAAGTATAGGTGCCTCAAATTTGCAGTTAAGTACATTGATATTATTATCTGAATCATGTAACCTCTGGTGAAGTGAAGTGAAATGTAAATACGGGACCCACGCTGCTGCAGCAGCTGGTGTGACTTCCTCACACACTGCATCAGTAGCATCACAGAAGCCGACGTACAGGAAGCTCCAGACCATACGTCTGTTTTTCACAGGACGAGTAACAGGAGCATCTGGTGAGGAAAGGTGTGTTTGACAAGGTCACAGATTAACGGCCATAAGAGGAACAGATGTTCTCATGTAGCAGGGCTGTGGCGTTTAGGGAGCAGGGGTTGATTCTGTTAGCATGTGCTCTGCTGATGCTCAGTGTGTGTGTGTGTGTGTGTGTGTGCTGGGTGGAGTGCCTGTAAACAAGTCATTTAATTCAGAGGTTGTGTTTCCCTGCAGCTCATGGATGAAACTAGAGGCTGATGAGAGTGACGTGCCATAGGACTGCTGCTGCTGCTGCTAAGTCTCGGAGCTCATTCTCATTCACAGCCTCACTCCCTGTTCGTTGGTACGACAGGGACATTTAATCCAGGTGTAAGTTTGCCTTTTGTCTTCACAAACTCTCCATTCTCATGGTACACTACATGTTCTTAGAGATGAAGTAGCAGCTTTACAATCCCCTGTAGAGCGTGTCTGGCTGCAGGTGAGATATTTTTAACCTCAGACCCACTGAGATGTGTCGGCTGGATGTTATTAAAGAGGTGTTTAGAAAGTATAGACATGTGAGTCATAGACTTTATCCTACGCTTGCAGGGCTTACTCAGTGCACATTAAGCCTCACTCAAAGAAAAAGCTTCAGGTTGTACCTCTCGTGTTACAGTTACATCCGAGTCACAGAGCAGAACATCTGGATGTCTGAGAAATGGATACCCAGTGATCTTTGAAGGGGGAGACTGCCAACCTGCCTCTGTTCCGAGGCGACAGCATCCAGCCACCGGCGCTTCTAAAGCTCACAGTTTAACACCAAACCAAAACCATGATCTTTTCCAAACCTTAAAAAGTGCTTTTGCTGCCTAAACCTAGACCCGACTCTGGACCTCCGGTCTCTGCTGTGACAGTCTGGTGTGCTCGCCATCCACACCAGCACCTCCCAACAGCTCTGGTCTGGTTTTTTTTTTTTTATGATAGTCTAATTAGGAAAACAATTTTGTCTAAATGTAATGCAGCATGCAGCTTCTGCAACAGCAAGATGCAGATAGATTTGCAAATCATGTTAATGATCACATATTAATGCCAGAGTCTGGTCTTTAGTTAAACAGGTCAGAGTGAATGTCAGAGAAATGGTCTCCTGTTGCAAGTTCCAGCTTCCATCTAATAAATTTAGTGAAAAGAGAAATGTTGTTTTTGTAAAATACCAACAAATATTAACACATTAATTAGTTTGAAAATATAAAATATTACAAATGAGAAAAAAAAGATACAGTTTTATTTGGATTATGGAAAAGAGGCCCACAATTCTAAACAGGTTAAAGATACTTTTCCCATCAAGACGATTCTGAAAATACCTTCAAATATGACCGTGTTCTGAGACCACCTTCTAGTAGCTTAAATTTACCGGTCTGGATTCCCGATGATCCGGATTAATTTTAAGTTGTTTAAATCTACAAAAACCACTGGAGTATCTGCATGTAGATTATAGTCCCAAAGATGCTGGAGTGGCATCACAACTACAGTCTGTACAGTGTTGTCAGTCAGAAGGAAAGACCTGCACTCACACTGCACAGCTGGCTCATTCAAATTCTACAGGGAGACAAACACACAGCAGGAACGGCAGGACAGTCACGACACCCTGCAAACTGATGCATAATCGATCATCAGAGCAGGTGATCTGCCTCACAGAGAAGTGACTCATGCACCTTCATCAGGGAGTCCATTTCCAGAGAGTCCAGGCGTCACATGAATCACCTTGTTGATCTTAATGTCCATTTGTTGCACATTTTAGTCAGTTAAAAATGTATTGATGACTATTCTTGATCATAACTTCCTCTAGATGTTTGAGATGCCAGTCCAAAACTAATCCCTAACTATTGAGATAATTGTTTAAATTGTTTTGAAAGCAGAAATGCCATAAAATTCTCAGTTTCAGCTTCTCAGATGGAAGGATTTGCTGTTCTTGCCTCTTATCTTGCTTTTACTGACATCTGGTACAGTAGGTGTGTGTGCATCCTTTGAGTTTTAATTGTATACCCATTTATTGCATAAATAGGTTTAAAAGGTTTTTTTAAAACAAAGAAAGACCTAAAAAATGTTGGGTGTTACTGTAGAACCACCAGGACAAGTTCCTGTGATGTCTGTCCACAGCGTACGTGATGAGGGCCGATCATTAAACAAGCGCACAGCTGATTCTGGCTCAGTGTTGGAGAATGACGAACACTAAAAGGTGATCAATCTGGTGGGCTGCACCACTGACTCGCTGCATCACAACGAAACGCACCAATCAGGCTTCAGCCTCATGCGTCTCCATGGTAACAGAGCTTCCTCGGTCCTGAGGAGGTGGAGACAGAGCTGGTGGGGAACAGAGGAGAAGAGAGGTAGACTGGGGAGGAAGAGGAGGAAATGTGGGAAGAGGGAGAATCGATGCCTTCTCTTATTTCACAGTGAGGATTTAAAAAAGGGGTTCCTGATTTGGGGGGGAGCCTGTGCAGATCTGCTGAGTGCAGGGATGGGGTGGAAGGAGGCCTGGGCTGGGAGTCTCTGTGGGACCAGGATGTGTAGTGCTCCCCAGGCTTGAGCTCAGTGGATCAGTCAAGTAGCTGTGGTTCTTTCTGTGAGGTAAACATCTAATTCTTCTAGTTGTCGCCTAAAATTCTGCCTTCTATCACATGATGGACAGATTCAGAGCTGCTTCATCTTCCAGCCTCCTCCTCCTCACCTGCACTGCTATAAAACCACATAGAAGAGATGATGGCAACATGGATGGCTGCCTGTTGACTGTGGCTCCTAGTCCGGACGACACACGAGCTGGTTTCTGTTTGAAATGTGTCGTTTTCTGCACGGACGCTGTGACAGGCCTTTACTAGGGTCACATTTAGTGATAGCTACGCTGTGACAGTGAAGCCTCTGTCGTGCACATGCCTAAATATGTGTGCAACACGATTATGGGCATGTTGGATGGTTGTCATGTGCTGCACGTTCACTGCGTTTCTGAGTGTGTGCTGGTGGGAGGAAGCTGTGAAACCAGTCATTGCAGGAGGTAATGCCGTGCACAGACTGGTTATTGTTTGGTACTTTTTCCTGTAAGTGGTGTTTTGCCACAGCTCTGTACCACGTTTAAATCCACATCGCCAAGTCCGTATTCCAGCTGATTTGAATTAAATTTAGAGTGTGTAACAAGACTGCACAGTGCACGACTTGTCTCCAGGAGATTTCTTGAAACCTGAAGAATTGTTGTCGCTGTGTTTGTCGCTCTCAGCCTGTGTCCTCCAGCCTAAAGTAACACCCATATAGGTCCCTTGTCCTTATTCTCTGATACGTTGGGAGATTATTCAAGGTCCACTACAACATGCAAGGGGCCGGGCCACGAGACCAGGTGAAGGAAGTTGAGCCGGCATTAGTAAACTGAACTAGTCCCATTTAAATTGGCACTGAAAACATATTTTTTTAAACAAGCTTTTTATGCTTAATCTCTCTAGACTCCTCTTGGCTTTCTATTTTATTGTAGCTTTATTCTAGCTTTTCTGAGGGGTGTCAGCCTGGACATGAATTATGCTATAGATCGATGAATGTATGTGCCTGTCATATGTCTACTTGATTTTTATTCTGATATTGATATTTTGATGACTTTGGTTTTAATCTGTTTGATGTAGCACCTAGTGCTCTTTGAGCTGGTAGGTGCTTTATAAATAAATGTTGTTATTATTATTATTAGTATGTGTGAGCTAGAAAACACAGGAGTCAGCCAGTCTCCACTCTCTCGCTGGGGGGTAACCATAAATATGACCGCTGTATTAGCATCTCCTCTTTGGCTGCTTTGTTACAGGATTGATTGGTGTGACTGTCAGTCACTCAGTGGATTGGCACCCTCCTTCCCCTCTTGACCTTTTAAAGCTCCATGCACCATTACGGGCACTTAGATTCTCCGACCAGATGCATTTGTTTTTGCCTCTGTGGTAATGTCTGCTGAACTGTGGAACACTCTACCCTCCCACTGCACCAGCCACTTTTAAATCTCTTCACTTTGGCTTTTGATTCTGGTTGAAATGTTTTCCATCTACACTGAGTTAGTTTGTGGTTTTATGATTGTTTCCTTGATGTACAGAGTGATGATTTGAATTATTTATCTGTTTATTTCTCTTAATGTTGGACAGCACTTTGGTCGACTTAACTTTTAAACAGAATTGGTCTGTCAGCCTGGAACCTTGCTGTTGTAGAGAGGTGTTAACTCACCTTGGAGGGTGTTGAACTGTACTGCATTGTTCAGAGATTAGATTTTTGTTATGTAGCCCTCCTTCATAACCACAACAAAACAATACTGTGCTGTATCTAGTCCTGTGCAGTGTTTATGTCTACTCACATTTTATTTGCAGTTTTCCTTAGCAGGTGCAGAGAAGCCTGTAAAGAGCAGACGTACGTAAACACCCAGCTCCAGACATACAAAGGACACAGACAGGGTTTAATATGAAAGGGTGCACGGTAGGTTGTAGTGCATTTCTGGGGCCCTCGGACAAATCTGCTGTTTAAAGGAGCAGAGCTGCTTTCCTCTGAGTCAGTTCCTCTGTGGAAAATTTGGTGCAATTTAGCTGTAGGCTTTCTCAGTCTGCCATTACACGGGACTGAGAGAGGGCAGCTGGCAGCAAGTCACCCTCCAGACGAGACATTTACTGTCTCTGTGGAGGCGGAGTGGACACTGACTGTGATTTTTAGCTGTGAGCAAGCTTTTGGAATTTGACCAGACAACTATAGGATTGTCTGAAATTTCCCAGCGGCTGCATGAAGACAATCTTCTGTTTGATTTTAATGGTGACTGTAAAGATGTTTTCACACCATTATGCAACCCAGCAGTGCTCACAGCTGATTTCTATGGAAGCCAATTTTCTTTTATGATTAGTGCCGTATTTTATTATCAATACCTAGTGCAGACTTCACCAGTAAATGCACGAGAGAGGACCGAAGTACACAGGGAAGGCAGAAAGCTAGTTTCCTATGTGCTGTGGTTTGGTAGCCCTGTGGGAAATTGGCCATAAACCCAGTGGATCTTTGTTTAGGTATGAAGTCAGCAGGGACACGTCCTCGGTTATTAGAAGGCGTAGAGCCGTATTCTAGGTGCTGGGAGACGAAAATCAGAACATCACATCTTGATGAAGTACTCCCTGTTATTCTGAACAAGGTAACTGAAGAATGTTTTGGTGCTCCAAGGCAGAGCCCAGTGTTTTAATGCGCTAGTTTCAAGGCTAAGTGCCTGACTCATTAGTAAGTGCTGGAATAAAACCTGTGGCTCACAGTGGACTCACAAAATGAATGCCCACTGGAATACACGTGCAGTTACGGTGTATGAGAACTCACCCTCTAAAAATGTACTTTTATTTCTAAAAGATCACCATCACACTGGAAGGAAAGATGATCAGACTGAAATCTATTAAAGAAACGTTTGTCATCAGCAGCTATGAAATGAGTAACTTAGCTCAGATCAAGGGTGCAAACATGAGTACACCGTCCACCGAGTCTTCTTGGCATCGTGTGGACATGACAGATTGTCAGATCGACCCTGTTCCGCCTCCTCGAGTGCCTTAATGTTTGATGAGGAGCGTGTTCCCCACAGGTGCTCAGCTGGGTTGAGGTCAGGTGACTTACCTGACCGCTGCAGCACTTCGACCTTGTTCTTCCAAATGCAGCAGTGACTTTGGAAAGATGTTTAGGGCTATAGCTGAAAAAGTGCCTGATCACCCAGCGTGTGATGAGAGCGAAGTATGTTGCAGCACATCTATGAAATCATGATCTTGTGAGGGAAGTACAGTCCCACCACACCATTAGCATCCCCGTATTAGAACACTGGGTGTCTGGACGACAACTGCTCTGCTTCTATGCAGGGTATCTCTCACTGTGTGAGGTGAGCAGGTGGGGCACCAGTGCTTTAGAGCAGCTTATTGTTTTATGTGGCTAAAAATGGTGGAATGAGAGTGCTGATAGTGTGTTAAGTGGGTTTATCAAAGCGTCTTTGCTGCTGGAACCTACTGATGCGAGCGGTGAGAATGAGCCAAAACAGTAGCTGTAAAACTAAAAGTATGAGCTGCTCGACTAATCACTGCAGCTCTAGTGACAAACCAGCCCTCTCCTTCAGTTTGTGTTGATCTTTTCCACTGAATGCAGGCTGCTGTGTTTGATGTGCTGACTCACTGCTCACTAATCTGATGGAGGTAAATAAAAAGCAAAAGGCTCGGCCGTCAGTCACGGCTCCATCTGTCTGTGTCTCAGTTTTCATCTGTCTCTGTTCCACGTTTTGCTTTACGGGGGTAACTCTCTCTACATGTAGCCTAACAGTTCTTCTGTAGGTTGACTTGTTCTTCATAGGAGTTGGCGAGAAACACCACTTCACCTCTGTCCTTGCTGTAATCTTGTCAGAGGATGCAGTAAACAAGGTCATACATTACACCCTCTGCAGAGCGACTAATATCTGTAGCTGTCATTTATAGTAAACAACGTGGGAATTAGCTACTGTGGGCTGAAGAACAGAATATGAAGGATCATTCATGGTGAAAGCTTCGCTGTGGTTTGGAGAACTAAATGAGGATGACATTGCAGGAACATGGAAATCCATGATGTAACTATTACTAATAACATCTCAGGTTGTCTTCACTGTCATACAGACCTCAGCGGTTCATCTGCAGCTCGACCACACAGACGGACAGAACCTGTGCACTACACACACACACACACACACTTTTCATTTGACATCTCCGCTCCTCCTTTCTCGTGTTAAGACAGCATCAGATTTACAGTTTGTCTCAGTCTAAGATCAAGTAACCACAACTCGTCCCTGTCTGCTTGTTAGTTTGTGGCTCTTGTTTACCTGGCAGCAGGTGCACGTACAGTGCCTTGCGAAAGTATTCAGCCCCCTTGAACTTTGCAACCTTTTGCCACATTTCAGGCTTCAAACATAAAGATATAAAACTGTAATTTTTTGTGAAGAATCAACAACAAGTGGGACACAATCATGAAGTGGAACGAAATTTATTGGATATTTCAAACGTTTTTAACAAATAAAAAACTGAAAAATTGGGCATGCAAAATTATTCAGCCCCCTTAAGTTAATACTTTGTAGCGCCACCTTTTGCTGCGATTACAGCTGTAAGTCACTTGGGGTATGTCTCTATCAGTTTTGCACATCAAGAGACTGAAATTTTTGCCCATTCCGCCTTGCAAAACAGCTCGAGCTCAGTGAGGTTGGATAGAGAGCGTTTGTGAACAGCAGTTTTCAGTTCTTCCCACAGATTCTCGATTGGATTCAGGTCTGGACTTTGACTTGGCCATTCTAACACCTGGATATGTTTATTTGTGAACCATTCCATTGTAGATTTTGCTTTATGTTTTGGATCATTGTCTTGTTGGAAGACAAATCTCCGTCCCAGTCTCAGGTCTTTTGCAGACTCCATCAGGTTTCCTTCCAGAATGGTCCTGTATTTGGCTCCATCCATCTTCCCATCAATTTGAACCATCTTCCCTGTCC